AGGGGTTGGAACATGTGAAATTTTTTTTAAGAAAAAATTTTAAAATAAAATTCCCATGGAACATTTTTGTAATAATGTTCTAAATTTATGGTAAAAGTTTAACTTTTATTTAATTAAGTTCTCAATAAAAAGTTACATTAAATGAGAAATAAACAGTAAATGGGATTGGATTAGAGTTATAATTTATCTAAAATGAATTATTTGATTCTAATGCATTGTTTGTTTGAGTAACTAATAATAAAAGTCATTTTTAAATAGATTTTTTTTTAGCGAAATCAACATAACTTTAAAATATTGGGTTTCCAAACATGTCCTTTCGGTTTTTCAGGGTGAAATAAAACTCAATGTATTATAGACATAAAATTAATTTTAATCTGTAATATATTGATCATTATTTAATATGACTTTTTCCCATCTTTCAACTAATTGCATAATGCTATGTTCATAGAATGTCTGGAGTTTAATGTTAAAAAACTGATCTAAGTGGTTTTTGATGGCCTCTTCCTTTTGGAATTTCTTTCCATTCGTGGAGTTCTGCAGAGACCAGAATAAGTGGTAGTCACTTGGTGCTAAGTCTGATGAATAGAGAGGGTGAGGCAAAAGGGTCCATCCAAGACTCAATAATTTATTGCGAGTGACCAATGAGGTGTGGGGCCTAGCGTTGTCTTGGTGGAACACAACACGCTTCCGATCATTCATAACTCTTCAGGATGTTCTCCAAATTAGATGTTACTATACCCGTTGGAAAGCTGAATTGTTGCTCTTTAAAGCAGTATGAATGGTTTGTAGATTTAATGTTTATCTCCATTCGTAATCTGTTTACGAAGGTCCTGTTGATTTTGTGTAGTTTATGTGGCCCTAAATCCTTACTACATTTCTTGTAGATAGCTAAAGTCGTATTGAAGTAATAATATTTTTTGTGATTTTCGAAAAAAAATCATGTGAGGGACCGAAACATGAAACCTGGAAACATAGCCGAGCTTATGCAAATGATTTTCTACGCTTGTGCGCGACAAATTTAGGGCCATAGCAATCTCTCGCACTGATTGGGTGAGATTTCGATCAACAATTGCTCGTTCAATTTCATGTGGAGGACCAAACCGTTGAGCATCATTGATGTCAACATTTCCTGAATGAAATTTGGCAAACCAATTTTGACAGGTGCGTTCGGTTAAGGTATCATTTCCATAAACACTGCAAATTTTTCTATGAGCTTCTGCTGCACGATTATCTTTTTTAAAATAATGCAACAAAATATACCGATAATGAATGATATTTTCTTCCATATTCACAGTGCATACACAATAGTAAGCTAGTTTCAACAAGAGTTGTTGATATATTACAAACAGGATAAACAATCCACCTTAGGGGCAAATTCAAGATATAAGAAGTGTATCATAGTGACATAAAAATAAACCAAAAAACCGAAAGGACTTATTTTTCATCCTAATAAAAGTGTTTTCAAAAAAAAAATCTGTGAAACCTTTACTTGAAAAGTTGCAAGGAAAAAAGTTCTAGTCGCAAAATAACAGAAAAAAATTTGAAAATAAATATTTCAGTTATAACGAGCCTGATTAAAAATAAAGGTTAAAATTTCATTTCAAGCCTTGCTTTGTAACGACCGCGATCAAACCGGCACAACAATTTGAGCTCATGGCAAATGATCAGTCTTCCCGTTTGCAATCTGTTTTTAAACTTTTATTTTTACAAATTATCTATAACAGATTAAAGGAACAACAAAAAAATCGTTTTAAATACATTGAAAAAAAAAAGATTAAGTAATAGGTACTCATACTTTTGAGTGCCAGAAGTCTAGTTTTTTCTCCTTCTCATGATTAATTATACAAATTATTTGACATATTAATAGTCTAACCGGTAAGAGATTCATCATTTTTAAATTGAGCGTGCTTGGTAAGTGACAACTCTTAGAAAAAATTAATTCTGAATAATATCATCAAAACATTTGAAGACATTGCTCCCTAAATCATGAAAAAAAAACGCCCTATTTAACATGATTCACCTACGACTGACTTCAACACTGTCATATGAATCCATATGATTAGCCATCCTATTTTGATTTGTTTTTAAGTTGTTTTATTCAATAATTTTATCTATAAACTCTGATTTAGTTTGAACTAAGCTCTGTCAGGATGGAAGTCGTGGATTAGCAAACGCTTGTTGGGTTCGCTTAGCCCATAAAAAATAAGCACTTGGCATTGTGCAGTGAATGCTTAGAGTACTGACCATCTAAGGGCCTTAGTATAGTGGTAGGCCCTAGTCCCTACCATAGGAAGTGGCAGCCTTCAAATAAAGTACATATAACATTTATAATAATTATGTAATATCTTTGCATGATATATTTGTTACATACATTTTAAAGGACAAGTTTGGTTTTTAGTGTGGATTTTAATATTTGGTAATTTTCCCTGAGTGTCTTGTTTTTTTTCTCCACGGACCAGTATATTTATTGGGCTTTTCGCTCACTCAATTATTTTTTTTAACGCGTGATATTCAAAGGTACTACCAGAAAATGAAGAATATAATGTAATAAGAAACGAACTTCCCAATCATTACTCAGAATGAACAATAGATGATAAATCAATATTTCACCCGAAGAATAACTGAGGGTTGAAACAGTTTCAAAAAGTCACATTTTAACAGTTCCTGTGAAATCATTTCATTAAAAAAGTTATAAAAATAAAACTGATAAGGAACTTTTTTGTAATAAAGTTTTATGTTTATGGCAAAATTTTAAATTTTATTTACTTGAGTTCTTAAAAAAAAAAGTTATTTTAAATGAGAAACAAACTCGTGATTTGGCTGTATAAGAGTTTTAGTTTATCTTAAATAAATTATTGTATTCTAATGTGTCGTTTGTTTGAGTAGCTAAAAATAAAATTTAAGTTTTTAAATCGACTATTTGGCCAAATTAACTTAACTTTTACTTAAAAGTTTCTAGTGAAGTAAAAGTTTCGAGTCGATATTAAAAGTTCCGAACAATAGAAACAAAAATTAAAATAAAGATTCCAGTTATAGCGAAACTGATTAAAAGTAATAGTTAATTTCATTTCAAGTCCTTTGAATAACTAAATACTATCCAAATTCGGATCTAAACTACTCATCATGTTTAGTGAACAGAAAATTTATCTTTCAAAAATCAGCATGTATTATATATTCAAATATTTTAGATGTCAAGGTAATATTTTTGGAAGGAATTTTTTATTTAACATTTTCGAAAATCTGAAATTATTAAAAATATATTTATATCTGATATTAGTTGTTTGTTTTTTTACTTACTCTTATTCTTATTCTAGGATGTCAGTATATTATACATTATAAATTTTGTAAGAAATCCAAAAATAAAAAACTTTTCAAAAATATAGAAAAAAAAACATTTGTTTTTAAATATCGCAATAAAGGAGCCATTGACTTCATCAAGCTCATTACATTCTCTGTCGAGGACCGAGAAGAAGGGGGGTAACCGGGGTCCGGGCTTCGAGGGGGGGCCTACAAAGAATTTATTTTAAACTTCTGTATTAACATTAAAATAAAGTATAGATAATATTACGTCTGTTACGTAATAATTATGTAATATCTTTGTTACGCACTTTATGAAATGCTTTGTTCAAATTTTAACGGTAAATTTAATATTTGATGGGGGAGTGGGAAAATAATTTCTTGGAGTTTTTGGTTTTTCTCCACGACTCTATTTCTGTCGACAATCGAACCGCCGCTATTGTTATTGTAATAATTATTGAGGAAATAATTTAAAAAATAATAACTTATTAAATTTAATAAACTACATCTACAGTACATTAAAACACGCTTATGTTTTTTTTTCAAAAATCGATTTTTTTTTTCACAACTAACAGTACTTCTTAAATATTTATTTCAGCACTGTTAAAAAAAAAAAAAAAAATAGAAGTGTATTTCTAAATAAAAATTTAATTTTTTAAACTTGATTAATAAACAGTGTGTACTCATTAACTTTTAACACACTACTTATTCCATATAATATATATATTTTTCAATTGAAACTTGAGTGAAATTTAGGAAAATGAAGAGAGTACATAAATACAATAGCTTTATTCATGAGTGTCAATCAAATATGAGCATAAGTGAATACATTTAAGTTTTATTTTTATTATAAGTCCGTATTATACTTATAATACAAATATTGAATTGCTCTTAAATAATGAAAAAAAAATTGTATAATAAAATTGGAGTTTTCTAAATGTTTGTTTATCAAATCATTTCACAGGGGGTGAATTTTTATATCATATTGCCCATGTATTCCGGTATATCTAAAAACGAAGAGTACAAAATTCAATCACCAGATTAACATTTTTACTCAAAGAAATTTCTGGTGCGACAATCATAATGAAAATTTTCATAAGATATGTATCATAAATTAGTATTGTAATATGTTTTTTTGTCATCAACTGTCAAGTAAACGATTACGCATCCACAGTCAATAACTTTATTTTTTATTGAAGCAGATTATGCAAGGTCTCCGTCTATAAACATCTTATAAACATACAGGGACATGAGGAGATGCGGCGGGAGCCAAATAGAACACGTGTTTCTTCGCACGAGGAACTCCTGACACCGCAATAAAATTTAACGACCACATAAAAAGAAGCGGACTTATGCGGAGCAACAAGTCCACTCAGAGGGATCGCGCTCCAGTCTGTCTTCAGCGATTTTTTTTTTTTTTTTAATTTTTAATAAAATAAGTAAATGAAAATCTGATGAGAGCTTGGAAGAATGTGTTGGTTTAAAAAATCTATCATGATAATGCGATGTTGTTTGTATATGTTCCATTGTAAGGTAAAGTTTGAATCTAATTTAATTTTTATTAATTTTTTTTCCCTAGCCATTTATGATATTTGTACACATGTCCACTGAGAAAAAAATAAAAAAAAATAAAATTAAGACTTTATATGGAATTTTCTGAACCCTTTTTCGATCTAAAATGAATTTTAAAAAAATGGACTAACCTTCTGAAAATATGGTATGTCGGATAATCCTAGGACGTGAGGGAGGAAGGTTACGATGAGGAAGAACGAAGCGAAGAGGATTGCTGTCATCGCAGGATCACATCTCGCACGGGCGATGCCTGCGGACTGCCGCTCTCTCCCGGTTTTATATATTATAAAGACTGAGAGAGGAGCGGGGATTAGAGAGTGGGGATACTTGGAACCGGGATCAATCCCTCACCTTCCAGGAAGGCTCCCCCACTTCTTGCCGCTTCTTCGCCGCCCCCGCTGACGCTGGAGGCAGATCCAGAGGCCTCTTGCGTCACCGGCTCCGCCACGCGAGCGTGCGCAGGCCGTGGAAGCGTTGCCGGGGCCGACGCCTTTTCTCACTTCTCGCTTCCACACCTCCCTTCCCGCTTCCACCTTGCTCCGCATCTGCAGATTCGTTCACGTTTTAGAACCATCAAGAGTCAATCCGTCAAATAAGTAAAATTAATCAATTTAAAAACAGCATTTAAAGCTAATTTCTCAAAAGTTAATTAATTAATAATCAACAAAGTAGGATCCATGTTTTCATCCTAATGAAGATACAAAAACAATACCATTTTTGTATTTACAATAAAACACTTTTATTTAGTTATATCACACATCTATGTATATATGTAACGTTACGGTCTTTTTGGCCAATTTCTAACATACTATTTCTAAACCGTTCATCACCTATATTATAAAACCAAAATTATTTTTCTTTAGACAAAATCTCCTGTTTGTCGGTCAAACCTTGGTGGTGTGGTTATTTTAAAACAGGAAAAATCATTTGTTACCAATAACTATTCAAAAAAAAAATTAAAAACAAAAAAATAATAGCAATAAAAATCTTTAGTTAAACATAAAGTATATATTTCATTTTTACTTTTCATGTAGATCATTTTAGACAAAATTTATTACTTAGTTTTTTAAAATATATTTATTGAAAATCTTTAATTTCATTACCTTTTTTTATACACATATGCAGATAAAGACTTTCAAAGAAAGGCACTTTTTTTTTAATTTGTCGAACTCCACATATATTAAAACATTAAGCACCAGATATAGTGGCGGAACCAGAAATATACTGAGTGGTGCGCAATTTAAACCAGGGTAATTCCATTACTCAATACACACACATATATATATATATATATATATATATATATATATATATATATATATATATACATTTTGTAAATAGAAATAGTAGAAAAAATACATTTTGCTTCAATTAAGGGCATTGAGTATTTAGGATGAATGAAATAAAAACATACCATATATACAATAAAAGAAAAACAAGATTATAACAATATAAAATAAAACTTGGAGTAACAGAATAAATCTATCTCTTAATATAACTACACTAACTGAATTGCAGATGGGTGGCGTATTCAGTAAAACCTCTCAAGTGAGTAGGTATACATGGATAAGAAATTAGTTATTAGTGCTTGGGATTATATTAACAGTTACTTTTCAATTAAAGTAATAATAATTAAAGTGCTGATTGTGTAATTACTCTTTTCGAGATAACATTTTTCTTAAGGGAGGAGGGGTGTTAAGCAACCCCCACGCCCCTTCAGCCATTCCGCTATTTACCAGATACTATAGTGAAAATTCAATAAAAAGCTATTATTAGAATCTTGATTTTCGTGCGGCGAAAAACTCAGAATGCCTAAAATCGTGTAGTAATGTAGTAAAAATCCAAAATATTTAAGATAAATAATTTAAGTAACTAAAACCTAAAACGTGCAAAACTCATCTATTTTGTTTAATTTATAATATTGATAAATCGAAATTTTTTCAAACCGAATAAAATATACAATAACATGGAAATCCGGTCTCTATTTAATATAATAAATTTTAAAAAATAGATGATTTTTGGAAATTTTTAGATGTTAATTACACAATTTTAAATATTTTGGGTTTTTACTACACGATTTTACACATTGAGTTTTTTGCTGCTCATAAATAATGTCTCTAGCTCTTATTCTTTACTCAATGGTGGATAAACTTTGGTTTCTAGGTTTCCATTTTTTCCTAAAAGTATTGAAAAATGGGTCCTGTTTGTTGGTACTAATTAATTAACATTTTAGAAAATAACATTAGTACATCCCATTTTTTTTAATACAACATATTATATATATATGGAAAAATGAGTAACCAGATAAAAGGTGAAAATTATATATTAAAACTTGAATAAATTTTCAATGAAATAATATTAATTGCCTACAAATAAATTTCTTTAATAAAATTCAGTTTTGCAGCGCATATTTATATTATTAAAAAATCAAAACTGTTTGCGATTTAGAATCTATGTAATGCTTTATATGCGATTACATTTAGTTTATTACTGTAATTTCTGATTTTTCTATAGTCAAGTTTTCAGTAACAATAATAAATAAAACACGGAGTTAAAGTTTTTATCAGTCCAAAAAAATATTGTGTAGTATGACTTCTTTTTTGTGATTTCATTCAAGTTAATATTGATCATTGTAATTATTTTGTTTATGCTTTTTGTATTAATAATATTTGTTGTTTATATCAATTCCAAGTCATATTAAACTATTCCCAAGTTAAATTAATTTTTTAAGGTTAAATTTAATCATTTTCAAGACAAAGTAAACCAAATCCAACATTTTCCATTTCAAGTTCAACATTCGATAAGTTTCAAATTTTTAAATTAAGGGTCAATTTTTTTTAAATATTGTTGATTTTAAGATTTAATGGTCTAAAATTGATATATGTCAACTTTTCAGAATTTTTCCGAAAGATTAAAATAAATTTAAAGGTTGGATTTGGGTTGTAAAAGTTTTAATTGGTCTTGGAAATTTTTGAGTGGGTCACAGAAAAAATTGGATATGACTTGAAAAAAATTAATTTGAATTTGGAAAAGGTAAGTTATGACTTGCAAATGCTATATAATTCTTCATTTTTCTCGCTCTATGTGAATATAAAATATAATTTATCTCATTATACTTAATATTGCAATTATTTATTTTTATCAGTATTCTTTTATTTTTTTTCTTTATTTTATAGTATTTATTTGTGTAACGTATCTTACCCTAAAAAAAAAAGAACCCACTTTTAACAAGAAATAAAAAAACAGAATCTTTTATTTTTAATTTAAACTTTTTTTCTAGAATGGAAGATGGTACATGATTTTTTATTATTATTTATATAGTGAATAATTTCCTTTCCTATATTTCTTTATTTTTTATTGATTTTCAATTTGCGTTTTCGATGTATCGGGTTATTTCCCCCTTCATCAGGACCATCTAGTTAAAAACTAATTTATAATTAATTATTTTAGGACAATAGCGTGTAAGCATTAATTTTGTATTGTATCTTATTTTACCTCACATTAATCAGCCTTCAAATTAATCTCTTGGTTCTATAACATCCATTACCTTTATATTTCATCATTTTTATTTAATCGGAAAATTCAGCACAGTCAACTACCTAATGTCTCTAAACATATAAATGTTCCATTAGTAAAAATGGAATATGACGACGACCAGTTTATATATTTTCTTAAATTAAGGCTTCTAAATATAGAAATTGTGGATTCTCATTCCTCCTGAATCAAATTCTGAATCCAAGCAGGAAATAAGTTGCTAATAAAAAAAAATATATTGAGGACTATTAAAATGTTCAAAGCGCCCTCTATCCCTATAATAGTTTTTATTTCAAAATTGTATTAAGGCAATTGAACAACAGTAATCCCAACATGTATTGTCTTGGAACTGATGTGCAAAAAGTGGATTGGTAAAAAGAAAACTGAAACTTTTTGAATGGGTTCTATCTTTTTGAATACAATGCACAACATCGGAAAGGTTGAACTATGTACCCCAGTAATTAAAAATATTCCACTGTTACTCATTTTTATTTTGAAAAATAAATGATATTTAAAGGAACCTTAAACCAAAGATCAAACCTGAGGATGTGAATTAAACGCACACTAATTGCTTACATTTACCACCAAGTCCAAAGTTTTTGTCTAGATCTCGATCAATTTTCTGGGTGTCAATAAATCATCATGTAGGTCCCATTATAAAAATACCAATGCATTTTTACAACATTAATTATGTTTTTTTTGTTTTTTTAATCTGTCGTTTTTAACTCTCGTTTAAATCATGTTTAATTGATTACTTTACCAAACGATCAAATTCATCTCGTTTCCATTATTTACCATCGAAAATCCTGAATACTCCTTACTTTGTTACAAATAAAATCATCCATAACGAACTTAATGTTCCATATGTTCCCGATTTCATCCAATCCAGATAATATCCTCTCCTTCCATATCCTTTCGTTTCTAACCTTTATTCCTCTTTGATCCATGATAACCATCTAAGGCGTCTGAAAAGAGGATGGCCTCGTGAGCTCCTAATTTAGAAATTGGTAGTACCAATAGGTAGTTTCTCTACAAGTCTTTTCTTGTCGTTATGTTTGTCTTTATCACAGTTACTAGTTGTAGTCTGATTTTAATACAGTAAATGACATGAAATCAAAATTTATTATTTTAATTCTCTACACTCCAAACCGTAAATCCTTTAACCCTTTCCATTATTTTTTCGAGATTTTGAAAAAATCAAATATAAGTACAAAGTAGAAGGAAGGAAAACAATATTTCACCAAAAATAAAAATTTACACGCAACTATACAATTGATAGAAAATTATTTAAAAAATCTTAATAAATGATTATTTTAAAAATTAATCATTACAGTTTTTGAATGGATCCATGAATATTAGTAATATAGAAAACAGTTATAAGTATTAATAGGACAGCTATGGCATTACCTAGCATTAATTTAAATTACATTACTTTACCTGACGTCCTATTCATCTGACTTAGAAAATATTTTAAACTAAGAAAAATATTTCGAGTTTTTCACAGGAATTTGTTTGCAATATTTTGCTGCACAGCCTTTCGGTGCTTTGTCAGCGGTTTGTACTCGTATATCAAGTCTTGCTAAGTTCGTGCTCAGCTGCCACGGGGGCAACTGGATTTCTCAGTCAATTTAAATTTAAATGTGTAGCTGTTCGTCCCGACATTTATTCTTAAAGTTTGATCAGCTTTATAATGCATTTATAATTCATCTGGAATGAATAAAATA